AAGGTGGCGGAGTCTATTGTCCCTACATTGCAATCAATGGGAGGGATGACTGGATTTTCACCGAAGTGGGCAAGGAGAACATTCCGGTTCCGCCCACCTACGACGAGGCTGTCGCTGCTCCGAAATTCAAGAACGTGAGATTTCAATGTGCGAATCGCAGGATGAAGAGACGTTTTATTGGTCCCTGAGGCTGAAAGGGCTATACTTGATGTATCGGATCTGGACCGCATGCAATATCCTTGGCATCAAGGCGGAGCAGTTCAGAGGCACCAATCAACAGAAGGACACCGCCTTCGTAAGTGATACGATCTTCCGATGCATTGCCCTCGGCCTCAATTGCGACTACATGATCTTCTACCGACCAGATGCGATCATTGGACGCAAGTTCTTGAAAATCAACCTTGCTGCCATAATTTGCGTACAAAGCGTCAAAGAGGTTGACGCTCCTCTTATCCAATGGTGCTTTTATCGCAATATACATCTGCCCCCGCGCTACATCGAGAAGATCAATCGGACCGAGGGGACGCCGCAATCCCTGCTAGAAAGGTTTCGACGGAGGGCGAGTAGCAAGGCGATCGCAACGTCATCGCACTGGTGATCAAGCATTTCCATTACGATCTCTAACATGTGGGGGATTAACTGGAGATTGCATTTTTTCAATGGGATCGTGGTATTCGTCGTGAATGGTACCATGATCAATCCCAAATGTTTGCATGAGACTTCCGTTTGTCACCACAGAACATCTTCTGTTTCCGTACAGTATCGTCATCGGCGACTGCTATTCTGGAGATGCCAGGTATTTGGTGCGGTCAATGAATATTCGACGCTACAAATCATTATTGGTTACAAATTAGTGGTGGACTATGCTCGTCATGGATGTTCGTTTTCTGCAGACTTTCCTGGATCTGTACCGTTACCTGATTGTACGTTTGCTGCGTGTGCATCGACGCGCACGAGGTCTGGTATGCGACCTGTAGCATTCTCGTTTCCTGTTAAGTATACAGAACCTGGTCAAACTTGTGCAGAGACGTTTCACAAAATTGAATAGAAAAGCCGCGCGTCCACGCATGTCGGCGTGCGGTTGTGAATGGTTCCTGACCCCGGGATGAACCCGAGCCCAGGACGGGGGATGCTAAGAATCTCCGGGCCACAGGCCAAAATCCGAAGGGCAGGTTCTGACGGTCACCCTGTTTTTTTCCCCTTCTTTGAGGTCCCTCGAACCTTTGCGGGGATGTTGTTGTGTGAACAGCCGACTCACGCATAGGGATGCTTTGGCTCAAGTTCTTGACAAGTGGATCAAGACAAATATCCAACGGAAAGCTGTGAAGAAGCAACAGGACCGTGCTCCGCTGTTGCAGGCGGTTGTGAGACAACGCAGGCCATATTTCCCTTACACCCCCTATTTACACTGACCCCTACTACACGGCTTCACAATCGAGGGTAGTGGTCACCCCACGGGATTCGAACCCCAACTGCCTTGTCATTGACTTCGTGGTTGACGCGCCTCCTGGCAGAATGAATGAATGAATGAATGAATGCATGAATGGATGAATGAATGAATGAACGAATGAATGACTGGAATGTCCGAATGAATGAATGAATGAAATGAATGAATGAATGAATCAATGAATGAATGAATGAATGAATGAATGCATGAATGAATGAATGAATGAATGAATGAATGACTGACTGAGTGACTGACTGACTGACTGAATGAATGAATGAGTGAATGAATAAATGAATGAAATGAATGAATGAATGAATGAATGAATGAATGAATGAATGAATGAATGAGTGAATGAATGAATGAATGAATGAATGCATGAATGAATGAATGAATCAATGAAATGAATGACTGAATGAATGAATGAAATGGAAATGAATGAATGAATGAATGAATGAATGAATGAATGAATGAATGAATGAATGAATGAATGAATGAATGAATGAATGAATGAATGAATGACTGCATGAATGACTGACTGACTGACTGAATGAATGAATGAATGAATGAATGAATGAAATGAAATGAAATGAAATGAATGAATGAATGAATGAATGAATGAATGAATGAATGAATGAATGAATGAATGAATGAATGAAATGAATGAATGAATGAATGAATGAATGAATGAATGAATGAATGAATGAATGAATGAATGAATGAATGAATGAATGAATGAGTGAATGAATGAATGAATGAATGAATGAATGAATGAATGAATGAATGAAATGAAAGAATGAATGAACGAACGAACGAACGAACGAATGAATGAATGAATGAAAGAAAGAATGAATGAATGAATGAATGAATGAATGAATGAATGAATGACTGAGTCATTGAATGACTGAGTGAATGAATGAATTAATGAGCGAACGAATGAGCGACTGACTGAATGAAATGAATGAAGAAATGAATGAGCGAATGAATGAGCGACTGACTGAATGAAATGAATGAAGAAATGAATGAGCGAATGAATGAGCGACTGAATGAATGAATGACTGAATCACTGAATGGCTGAATGACTGACTGAATGAGGCAATGAATGACTGCATGAATGAGTGAACGAATAGATTTTATGGATTTGATTGGTTGATTGAGTGATTGTTTGTTTGACTCATTGATTGGTTGAAAGAATGAATGAATGCATGGATTAACGAATGAATGAAAGAATGAAATGACATCAATGAATGAGTGCATGAATGAATGGATGAATGAAATGAATGAAATGAAGTGAATGAAATGAATGAAATCAATGAAAGGAATGAATTGAATGAAATGAATGAAAAAATGAATGAGCGAACGAATGAGCGACTGAATGAATGAATGAACGAATGAAGGAATGACAGCGAAATGGGTGAAATGGATTAATGAGTGTTCGTCGCCTTATTTGTTGAACACGTGTGACTGCTCCCATTGTCCTTCGGGTTTTTCTTCCTGTTTGCGTTTTCCGTGAATTAGAAAAGGAGGCAACAACCAATGATTGCAGCGCAGTGGGCAATGTTGTGTCGGCTGGGTGCAAGTCCTCTCTCAAAAAGGGAACCACTGAAATCCCCTCAGCCACAAGAAGGGAACATGAGCAACGAACTATATGGCGTCTCAAAAAGCAGCAAATTGCGGAATGCGTTGGGGAGTTTTGAACCTCCAGAGGATGGACAAGCTTGCACAATCGCCAGCAGGGTCAAGTGGCCCGCAGTCTATCAGTCAGAAAATGGGCTGACCTTCTTCGACAAGCCAGTCGGGTTCAAGCACCGCCCTACTGAAATGTTGATGACCATCACTACCCACCCAAAGTAGGTCTTCTGACAATGGCACATGTGACACGACCAGAAAATCAAGCCAACAATAAGCAAAGATGCAGACCCGAATTGTCGGGTGTCAGGTCTCATGTGAGGGGTTTGGGGTCTGCATCATTGTTTTGTTTTAAAACAACCCATTGACCGGGCCAATGCCTGCAAAGGGAGGATCCGCGCCGTACAACTCGAAAAAAAAACATCCGCAGTGTTTTTGACACCACGCCGATTCTGGCAGAAAGTTGATCCGGGCACCGCAAAATCGTATCCACTGTTTTTTGACATCGACCATGCCGATCCCGCAGTGGGTCGTGCGGGCATGTCGAAAGTCGAAAAAGATGTTGGTTTGCAAAGGGTCGCGTGGGCATATTGAACAACCTGAAAAACACAATTTTTTGACATCGGCCGCGCCGATCCCTGCAACCCACCCCCCGCCGTCAAAAAGAAACGAATCTTGTTTCTCAGTGCTCCCACGCGCGGAAATTATTTTCTATTGCAACCTAATCTGGTTTGCACAGCTGCTAGCGCCGCGGCCAAGACTCCGGCCTTTCTCACAAACAGTTTTTATCCAGACTTTAATGCAGACAAACCACACCCAGGCTCTTTCCAGACTACTCGCCTCCATGCAGATGGCTCTACGCAAGTTGCTCGCCGCAACTATCTCTGCGCAAACGGCTCTGTACAAATCGCTTTGCGCAGACGGCTCTGTGCAAGTAGTAGTTCTGTGCAAGCTCGCTTTGCGCAAATGGTTTTGTGGAATTGATTCTGTGCAGACGGCTTGGGGCAATTTGCCTTGTGCACGCTGCACTGTGCATGCTCGCGCCTAAATAGCTTTGTGCAAGTGACTGTGTGCAAACGGTTCCGCGCAGATGGCTTTGTGCAAGTTGTTCTGTGCAAGTTAGTCCACGGGCTCCGCGCGGAATGGCCCTTCCCAATGGTTTCGGCAAAGAAGAGTGACTGAGTGCAACGCGTTGTTGGCATGAGGGTCGGTATCTATTTAGGCCCAGTGCCCGTAGCATCTAACTTTACGAACGTCTTGGGGATGTCTCCCATGGGAAATGTCCTTGGGGCTTGGGGTTATGTTGGCGCACTTGTGGGTATGTTTTTGGGATATAAAGCGCACTGCTCATGGGTTGTTGTCCTTGTTTGTGCGCCCGTGCACGAAAATCGGGGAGTTTTCGAAACAGGCAAAACCTGATACAAACCACGAACCCGAATGCAGAAATACGCATCCCCAGAAGCATTCCCAAAAGCATTCCAGAATACATCCCCAACAGCAGTTATTAACACATGTCAAAAACCATTCCCAAAGGTATCCTGACTGACAAAGTGCTAAAACACGCGCTCGTAGATGGCTACTATGTGACATCTTGGTGCTCCAGACATTCCCATCTTTTGGGCAGCCAATATAGCTTTAAAGATCGCATGTTCAGCAACGACCCCAAGATGACATTGGGAGTACTTTGTTTACTGTTCAACCGGCGAGGCGTGCATTGGTCATGTCTGTATTGAGAGCTGGCGAACGGTTTGCGCATGATTGCTCAAAGCTAGCAGTGCTGCTAAACACTTGGCTTTGACAGTGAAGAAGCGTGACATGAATTATTCGCGAATCATATGCGTGGCCACAATGAAGAACACACAATACGGACGGCGCTTTTGTCGGGCACGTTATGCGGGCAGCATTAAGATCTTTATTATAGTTCGTATACCCCTGTTCACAACTGGGTCGGAGTTGGCTGATTGCGAAGGAACTTTGCGCGGGCACCTCAGACCTGACTGACACGATGTGTGAGCCAAGATTTGGAAAATGGCCAGTAAATAGTTAATGTGTTTCTCCTTTGTGGTGGCAAAACACACACCCTCTTGACTTCCCCCTCTCAGGTTATGTCGGGGGCACGGCCGGCCTTTGTCTGTCGCTCAGGGTGTGTGTCTGTCTACGTAACCATGGCATGTTGACAAGGATGCATTGGTGGCATGCACCCTAGGCAGCTGGCTTGCATGCTGCACGAAAATCCGTTCGAGGGCAGGGGGCAGGAAAGGGAAAGGCGCGCTGCGTGCAACATGGCTTTGCTGAGTTGTGCGGCGTGGCAAACAACATGTTTTTAGCGTCGAACTTGACAGGGAACATCGTTGCGGGGTTTTTGCAGGTGGCTTTCGTGTCTCGACTCACAAGCAGCTCAGTCAACCGCATTCTCAAGGCAGGCCGATGTGTTTGTTTGTTTGTTTGTTTGTTTGTTTGCTTGCTTGCTTGCTTGCTTGCTTGCTTGCTTGCTTGCTCTTGTCAGAAAGAGACACATGTTATGGTCGGTTTTCGTGTTGGGGTTGATTTCCGCGCAGTTCGGATTGAAAGAACAGTTCGGGTTTGTGCCTGCGTGTGGGTTTTTGTGCGCCAGTCCTCGGAGTCCATCGAGGCCATGGTCAATGAGCTTGTTGGGAGGCAAGGCGCGTGCGGAAACAGGAAGCATTTAGGGGGGGGGGTACCAGGTTTTCTAGGTTTTCTATGTTTCCTTTTTTCATCTCTTCCCTGGGGGATCATGTATTTAGTTCCTTACGCGCAGGGCAACGGAGTTTCACACTGCCATGGGTCGGGTGTTGGGCAAAGATGCTCGGAATCTTGGCAGGATGCCTTCAAAGGACGAGGACTGCTCCGATCGCTGAGTCGCCCAGTAAGAGGTTGAACATGAGAAAAGGCTTTGGCTATGTGAATTACGGCCAAATGAGCGGATGCCTCATTTTAGGCCAATCCATTCGCTCAATTGGCCGGACTGTTGGTTTTGCTTTGACTTGTGGCAATTGCTTTGAGTCATGGCTTGGCCATGGCATCTCAACAAGTGTTTTGGAGACAAGGGAGCAAGGGCACCGCAACACGTGAAGCCTATCCAACAGTTCCCTCCAAATGTGTTTTGTCAAGGACTTTCTTTCTGTTGTAGTTAGCCAATTCTGAAAGAAAACGCTTTCCAATCGGACAGCTTCACACAAACGACCTGAAACCTTAAAACGCCTCGCAGTGGAGGCTGCGAGCAAGACGGCGAGCTCTCCGGTGGACTCCAAACTCTTCCAGAACTTCATCTATGGCACCGAGTCCTTTATTTGGGTCTCAAAATGGGGTAGAACAACCCCCCGAAATTGGTGGCAAACTAAACACCAAAAGAGGTATCATGAAAGAGGACATTCTTTTACGAAAAGGGCCCCCTCAGCAAGCAGCAGGATACCCACACTTTGTGGGGCTGTTCTGCGGGAAATTGCGGTAATGCGTTGTCAATCTGGTGCAGGTACCATCTGCTTGAATGCCATAACGCTTGGAATGCAGGCCAGTCGACGGGAGACTTGGCAGGTGTGTCGTAGCGGCAAAGTCGCAATGCGGGCTAGTGCTCGAGGTGTTGAGACAACGATGCATGGATTCTCTTCAATTGGATCCTGCAAGCCGGATTGTGTGCTTCGTTTGCTTCATTGCCACGGGACATGCGAAGGCGGACTACCAGAATGATGGCTGGAACACGCCAGGGCCTTGGAAAGACATTCAAGCTTTGAGACAGAGATGATGGGAGGCGCTGACATGCGGACCACGCTTTTTGGGCCAACATGCTGCCTGTTAAAATGTGCTCTTTGCTCTTTTTTTCAGCAACATCCAGCGGTGTTGTCAGAGTTGAGCGCTTTCAAAGTTTCGAAAACCAAATAGACGAGTCACGATTCAGCTTTGGGGATCACAGCCCGACCGCAGTCTCTCCAGGGCTTTGAGAGCGCCTTCGTGAAGAGGTTTCAAATTGGTTCGTGATGTTTCCCCCCCTTTGCTGTGCTGGACAACTGTCATGGACTGCGATTACTTTGCCGGAAGTGTTTCTTGTCTCATATGCTGCTGTCACACATTCCTCAGCATTCTGCCCGATGAACTTCAGTTTGGACAAGCCATGATGATTGACCCATTTGTTTGTCCCAGAATGTTTGCAGGCGTAGTGTTCCTGATTCTGATTCCTGATAGCCTCGCGTGTACTGCGAATGCATCACGTCTGTTTGATGTCAAGAAACATGTGCCAGCAAACTTCTTCGGGGCAAGATGCAAACATTAAGATGGGAACATGGAACCCACACACAGAGGCTGGGTGTCCATGGTACAGGCAATTTTCTGCTCAGGGTGTGGTTAGTGTGTGAGAACGTCTTCACCATTGTCTTCACCGTGGAGATGGCTGGCTGGCCCAATGCTTCGCCGGAGTGATGGAGAGGGGCTACCTGATTCAAAGGGAATTTGTGGGAAACAGGAAACCGCTGTTCGGGCACACACTGCCCTCGTCTCCATTTAGTTTGAGTCAGGCGGCTGCTCCAGTTGGATTCAGATGCGGTTGTGAACCGAATGCACGCGCAAACTTTTCACGACACTGTTGTACCAGGCCGCAAAGCTGTACTTCCTACGACTCGGCTACTTTTGGGATGCAGCAGGCCTAGGTCAAGCAGACGACATGGCTGGAGGGGGCAAAGCCACTGCCGGATCTTGCGGGTGCCCGGCTTGTGTTTGGAGCTCTGGGGAAGGTGTATGTTCCGTGAGGCTGACAGGAAAGCGCTGCAGTATTGGAACCTTCTGGACATGGTACGGGGCCCAGGTTTGGACTTTGACTTTGTGCCGGCGCCTGCACATTTGAAGCCTGTTCTGTCGTCATTTCCCGTGGTGTTTTGCGGACTTGCTTTCAAGATGGGAGTTTTTTCGTCGGAGGTGATTGCGATCATGGCCATCGTGGACTGCTGGATCTTGTCGTCGCTGCCTGAAGCACAGACATACACACACACACACAATGCCTGAATTCGGCAGGAGTGAGAACCGGCGGAGTTGCCAAACAAACCTAGTAACCGTCAGGAGGCTTGGGTTGGGATTTCTTGGCATCGTTTAGACTTGATTCAACATGTATGCGGTTTTGGGTTGGCTTCTTACTTTGCAGCTCGAATGTCCATCGCTTCGAGGTTTCAACAGGACGCAGAAACGCACGGACCGCAGACGCTGCAATGAGATTTGAAAGCGATGTGGGTTGCTTTGATTTGTTGTTGCTGGAATGCATGGCAGTTTGATGGGTTGGTCGATTGGTCGAGTTGTTGATTGGCAGGTAGGTAGCTGGATAGGTAGGTGGCTAGGTGGGTAGTAGGTAGGTTGGTAAGTCTGTTGGTCAGTTGGTTGGTAGGTTGGTGGGGCTGGAAGATCAGGCACCTGCTGGGTTGCTGAGGAGGTCGCTAGGTTGGAAGGTCAGTGTAGAAAGTACCCTTTGTTTGGACCCCGGACTGATGTTAGGTGGCTATATTGGGGCAAACAGCTGCAGGAAATCGCAGTGAAGTGGCCGGTTAACTTTGACAGTAGCCAAACCCTGGGTGGGACTTGACATCGGGCAGTGACTTGCTACAGTGAGGCCTCTAATCCGCGTGATGCAGCTGCTGCGAATTGTGAGGCTGGACCTTTTTTGACATGAGGGGCTCAATGAGGCCATACTCCGCAGAAAAGGCACACTGCTCACGCAGATATGTTAGTTTTGTTTGAATTCACCGGAAGGCAGGTTTGTGCACCTTTACCACCTTACTGAACCCAACACATTTCTTGAGCTCCAAGAAAGGGTCCGTGTTCATGTTAAACTGTTTGACTGCAGAGCAGCATGTCCGCCCCGCCGATTTGAGGATCGCCAAGCTTTTGCGCCTCCGAAAGGAGTTAGTGGTCGGCATCTCAGTGAGAGTCCGTTGCTGCAAAGATACGGTGTCCAGGCGAAATAGGATTCATAGGCACTCGCTGTCAGAGCACTGACCTGTGGAAGAGACGAATGAAGCGGAGAAAAGTGCAGCATGGCGACGAATGAGTTTGCATGGCGGAGGCCATCATCGAGGGCCTTTTCAGCTCGCTTCAGTGCATGGCCCGGGGCCAAGAGTTGGATCCGCCACCCGAAGGCGAGTCGGTTTTGAGGGCCGCCGCTTGAACCCATGTGAGTCCCAAGGTCTGTTCATTTCTAATGAATTTGGGTCCCTCAGGTGTGGATAGGTCCAGAGCTCAGGTTCCGGCGCCAGAGAAGTCTTTACTTTGGCCGGCATGTCTGGAAGGCCCCAGGTGTTCCGGTCACTGGCGTCTTTTCCTGGCCCGTCTGCCATCGAGTATCATCACTTTGAGAATTCCTCGTTTTGTTCTTGCACCGTGACACCGTGCTACACGGGCGAAGCTACGCTGAGGCTTCCTTTTGCTGATCATCATCTATGCCTTCAGCATCGTGTGCCGCAACGTAATTGGCAACATACCTAACAGCGATCTGGGAGGCTTGGACTGAGAGCGAGAGAAAGAGCGAGAGAGAGAGGGATGGAGGGATGGAGGGGGAGGAGCCAGTTTCGGCATGAGCCGGCCCGCGGATCGTTTGATGGGGGCCCAGCATGTTAGCAAGTCCTCCATTTGTTTTGCAAACCTGTGATGTAGATGCAGATTGATATTTCTAAAACAGAGAAAGCCAAATGCGAGGCGATTTGTTTGTGTTTCTATTTCATTTCCTTTGGGCTTACCCGAAAGTGGCTTGGTGGCTTTTTGTGGCTTTCTGATGGCTTCAACCCAGGACCAACCCAGTCACACCGCAATCTTACCTCAAACACGCCCTTACCCCGCTTGAAAAATTAACACTGCAAAGCATCCCTACACCACCAGGCACCAGCCCCATTCCAAACCAGCGCAGCCTACAGCTTGCTGGTGATGCTCGGAGTGATCAACTCATTCACTACATTACATGCAATTGCCACTTCCCGGCCCAGACCAGGGTATTTTTCGCGCTGAATTGCTGGAAGCCATGCACTATTTACAAGTGCAAATTACACAGGGTGGGAACATGAAGACCTCTGGTTGACCTGGCTTGAACACCACCTTAGATGCAGTTTCCAGGCGTCGAGATTGTCAAGGTCAAACAAAGCCCACCGTGATCCTTCTTGCTTGAGTGACCTAACTGAAAAATGGACGGCTATTCATAATAACCATGCCGACATGTGTGCAACACATGTGGTTCTGTGTAAAAATAGCCGCCTTTACCAGAAAATCCTAAAGATGCAAAACCAACAGCAAGCGATAAGAGATTTGCAAACCTGCATGCTTTTATAGCTGAGTCAGCGGAGGAGTCCTTCTAGCACCAGCCCAGAACTGAAAAGCAATTCTATGATACCACAATCTTGGGTGTTCTCCCAGAAGTGAACTCTTCACTTGCAACATCCCAACTCCGGATGAACACCTCCTTTTGGGTTGGAGTTGCTAAGAGGGTCCTTGCATGCGCGGTTAAGCTGCAATGGTGTCAAAACCACTCATGCCCCAACACGTCCGCAGTTGAATTGTATGCGGACTTCATGCTTGCTACGGGGACAAGGAGTGCTGTGAGGGATCTCCAGTCGCCTGGCAGACCTTGGATTCTTAGAGACACTTTCACTACGGGATGCGCAATGCGTCCATCTTGGTAAAGAAGTTAACACGTTTCTTGCTTTGGTCAGATGGGCTTCGAAGCTAGGCTTCTGCCCTTGTCCAATGGTGCCACAAAGCGGAGCGTCCACTCTTACCTTGATTTTATGCAACAAATATGTACCACGGGCTCAACACGGCCAAAACTTGTGTGTGGTCTCAGGGCCGCCAAAGTATTGCAAGATAAATTTGGACCTACGCTCAGCGCAGGTCACCTGCATCAAGAGCGGAACGCGGAAAATGGTGATGTTCGGGGTGTTGTTGGTAAAGACCTTGCCCCAAGAAGTTCGAACATCCGGAAAACATCAACCCAAAAACCCTACTGAACTCTGCGGCCTCCCTTAGGACCCATCAAAACCAGCCAAAAACCAACCCTAAAGCAACCTTTAACCAAGCCTAAACCCCCTTTAGCCAGCCAGAACGAGCTGTAACCAACCAGAAACCCGCCGTAAAAACAGTTTAAAATTGCCCTACAGAAACCCTAGCCAACCCCAAGCCTCCCTGAACAAAACCGCTAAACCGACCTTAAATCAGCCTGAGCCAGCCCTAAACCAAAACCAGCCCTAAACCAATCTGGAACCAACCTGAAGCCAGTCCAAACACAGCCTAGGTTTGCCCTAAACCAAGCTTAAACCATCCACCCTCGCTCGCAAAATAGCCAGCTCCAATCCCACATGCTGAACTAGCCCCAAGCCAACCTCAAACACGCCCTAAACTACCAACCTGCCCAAAAGCAACCCACCCGAAACGCGCGCACCAACTCGAAGATGTCGGTTGGCCAGACATGATCAACAACGACATGTACTTCGGGACCCTGCCTCGAACGATGTTGACGCCGGGCGCCTGGCACCGTTTTCAAAGTGTTCGTGTTACTTTTACCTTTAGATTGCTTGGACAGTGACTCTCTCTCTCCAGACCCACCCAGTTGTGGACACTGTTTTTCGTGAAGAGAATGCGCTCTGCAACTGTGCGGCGTTATAGATCAAACCAAAACCACAGACTTTGGGACTGTTGGGACTGTGGAAAGCGCTGCGGGACTACCCTGAGGCTTTTCAACATTTGCCTCATCGATGGCTGGCCCGCGCGCTCAGACAATTCGTTGATAAGTCAGGACACATCTCAAAAGGATACCGGAAGCATTTTTTCGCTCAAACCACTGCGCACAGGAGTCGTAGAAGGCCGGAAGGTTCCAGATTCCAGACATGTCGGACTTCAAGTTGGCAGTGGACGAGAACAACAAGGCCACAGAATTGCCGCTGCTGCGGGTATGTGGCACTGTTCAGCGAGGGCGTCTTCGTCAACTAATTCGAGAATCCACACATGCGAGCGTTTTGGGCGTCAACCATCTCGTTCTTCCTGGCCTTCTTGGGCTGGTTTGCCTTGGCACCTTTGGCGCTGGAGGTAGCCAGCAGCATGGGTCAATGTGAGAATCAACTGTACCCGACAGCGGAGTACCCCAAGAGGCTGGCCTACCTGAAGTACAAAAACCTCAAGAGTGGCCTGGAGTACTGCCAATACGGCAAGGTTCTGAACTCTGATGATGTGCCCAGCGACTGCCAGTCCGTGCCTGCTGACAAGCTGTTGACTGGAACTGATGAGGAAAAGCTTCAGTACCGACCTTCGGTGCTGGCCAAGTGTGTTTGCACCACAGGGACTGAATGCAACGGCATGATTGCCAATGCCGGAGTGGTAGCTGTGGCCTCAACAATCTTTGTTCGCATTGCCCTTGGCACCTTGCTGGAACGCCTTGGCCCAGTGAATGTTCAAAGCGGTCTGCTAACCTTTGGAGCTCTCTGGGTTGCAGCGGCTGCTGCCATTTCAGCACCATGGAACTACACCTTGATCCGATTTTTCATTGGGTGTGCCGGTGCCACATTTGTGACGAATCAGTTCTTTGTGCACCCCTGACTTGATCAATGGTTGCCGTACCATGATTCTAATATATTTGCCAGCCTGCAGGAAGCAGGCGATAACCCAATCTTTGCCAGTGGAGTCGCCTGACTCCACATTTGTGCGGTGGTTGTCACGTGTGGACACCATCAAAGGAAGGTCGATTCATCAGTTCTGGTGCTCGCTCATGTTCTCCCCCAATGTTGTTGGCACTGCCAACGCCACTGCAGCAGGCTGGGGCAACTTGGGTGGTGGCGTGACCCAAATCTTCATGATTTCAGTCCTCTTCAACCCCATGGTGGAATCTGGCATGGCACCGGACACCGCTTGGCGAGTGGCCATGTTCGTTCCTGCGGTCCTCTTCATTCTTTGCGCCGTCAACATCAAGCTCTGGTGCTGGGACACCCCCACAGCCAAGCGCTTCGATGTAGAGGTGACTGGCAAGACACAGAAGCCATCTTTGTGGGACTATGTTGAGGTCCTAAAGGATGTCCGAGTTTTGGTGATGATCATGCAGTATTTGTCATGCTTTGGCACCGAGCTCGCGATGAACAATCAGTTGGCAACCCACTTTAGGACCTACTTCTGAATGCATAGTGTTTGTGTGTTTGCATGTCTCTTTTTTTGCTGCTGTTGTGTGTGCGCGTGTGTGCGCGTGTATGCGTGTGTTCAATGCATGAGGGGGCTGCATGCTGTACAGTTTTTGCACGTGCAACAATTCTAGTTTGTATTGCAAAGTGGCAAATTTCAGATGTTGCAAGTAGAGGGCTGGCTCAGGTCCACAGTGGTATGGCCACAGATGCTTGTCAGCTCCCAAGTATGGCCAATGCTTCCAGTCCTTACAGTTTTGTCTTGCTGTTCAACTCAGCCTCGACTCGAGCTCCGATTGCGACCGAGTACAATCCTATCATGGTGGTGCCCATGATCATTTTCATGAGCGTCACCTGCTTCGGCCTGATGAATGCGCGGCGGCCTGGAGGCCGTGCCGAGGCTCTGACGTGTTTTCTGGCGGCATTGCTTTGGCCGATCCCAGTGTCCGAGGCCCTGATCGGTGTCATTGTGGAGCGCACCACTGCGGCGCACCAGAGCATGAATGAGGTACAGGACGAGGCAAGTGAGGGAAGCAATGAGGTTCGGGCAGGGAGTAGCTGATGGCACTGCAGCTTTGGATGGTCAATAGATGTGCTCACTTAGGGTTAACAGGGATGTCCGTTGGTTCCACTATGCCACCTGCACTGGTGATTGTTTTTGACCGTCGCATATTTGAATGTTCCCTTGCGAGCAATACATGGTCTGCAGGCAGTGCGGGAGATGAAGATGCACATGGTTGCAGTCTTGGACGTTTGCTTGAGCCAGGAAAGGGCACATGTTTGTTTTGGGTAATTGTCCAAAATCTGCAACGGCTCACGAGGTTGGCACCTCTTCAGTTTTGAAAGATCACCCAAGTTTGGAGGGCTGGCTACGAAGCTTTGAAGCACCTGAGCAGCGTCCAAATGCTGCCCATCTGATTCTGAGTCACCTTACACCTACCCAATTTGCACTCCGCACTGGAACCCTGTGCTGAGGTTGCTGAGCTCCTTTCGGCCATCGACGATTCAGATGAGGCCCCCGCGCAAGTTCGGTTGTGTGTATGTGGTTGGCGGACCCATCATCTTGAAAATGGAGACACCTGACCTCAGCAGATTTGGGCGGCGGCTTCCATCGACGGCAGGATTCCAACGGCGTTATCAACCTCCAAGAGTTCCGACAGGATTGGCCGGGAAACGCTGCCTCGGGGCTCATTTCAGAAGCTGAACACATTTGTGATTTGTGGCTCGCTTCAATTCGGATTTCGTAGCGTGCCATGTTTGCTATGATCCGCCGTGGCTTAATATACGGGCATATATGGACTCTCAGCTATGGCTGAGTCTTGAGTATCATTTGATCTACCATACATGTATCCTCATGTTGGTCACTTGTGCGCAGGATAGGACAGACTTTTATGATCGTATCATGGAATCTTCATAGGGCAATGTGCCAAATTTAGTAGAAGTGCTATTAGTGGATTCCTCAAGACTCGTTGGCGCGCCAGGTTCAAAGAAAACCACATGCGGCCCAGATTGTGGGCTGCGGCATGTCTTTCAGCCACGCCTGTGTTGGTTGCCCAGCGTTTTGTGAATGAGGTGTCATGGTTCTGGTTTCGCAGAGTTTTGGCTTGCTGCCAAGTTGGGATGTGGTACTTTTATGTCCACCGGTTGCAGGTCAGGTGTTGGACGAACATTCTCAGCTATTTGGGCTTTTGAAATGAAACTGTTTGGACGTTGTTTATGTGGGACCGGTACTTGGTGCATGTTCCAGCCTGACCTGTCCCGGGAACTGTGACCGACAGTGTGCGTGTGCATATGTGTGCCTGTGTGTGTGTGTGCGTGTCTGTGTGCGTGTGCTTGTGCGTTTGCGTGCGCACGTGCGCGCAGGCGCACTGCATGCGTGCGTGCCTGCGTGCGGGCGGGTGGGTGGGCGGGCGGGCGGGCGTGCGGGCATGCGTTTGTGAGTATTCATGATATGTTGCACGAAACAGATACATGGGCGACGACTCCCACGGTGCAAAAGTCCTTCTTAGCTGGCAAATCCATCTGAGTGCGAGCAGACAGGCGAGTTGTTTTTGGGGATGTGTCCGAGTAACCCTGCGAGGACTAGTGGGCTGCAGACAGCCGAGCTGATGCAGTTGGTTCAACCCTTTCTCGGAATTCTCAAGAAAGGTCGAGAGGCTGTCTCCACGTGGACGCACACATGACTTTGGCACGATTTGAGCTATCCATCGCAAGCGGCCTTCTTCACGCCAGTTTGCGGCGCTGAATCTACCCCCAGGGCTTGGGGCCTAGTGGTGGTCTGGGCCAAGGAGAGCCCTCCGTGTTGCGTGGCTTAGTGGATGGTTCTGACACGAAGTTGTTGAGGCGGTTCTCCATCGAAGCGACCGAACAAGCGAGGGCATGTGTTGCGAGGTTACCATTACCCAGGGGAACCAAACACCTGACACTGCCTGACACTGCCTGACACGCCCCATATTTGGAGCCAAGACGGTGTCACCGAGCCGCGAGGTTCGAGGCCACGGACCTCTTCTGCCTGCTGGACCGCGACGGGGACGGCGCCCTGGACCGCCAGGGCCCCGGAAGGGTGTGCGTTTTGGAAGCCGTTGGAATCACTCGCTGTATCACAGATACGGGATGCTTGGGAAGCCAACAGACACCGCTCATTTTAAAGAGCCCCCCATTGGGCCTCCCACCTAAAAGCGGGGGTTCCATTTGGATCAAATGGGAACAAGCAATCCGGAACCTTTTGCACCCGTGTTTCCTTCGTTTTCTCTTCAGCGTTTGAGGCCCAGTTGGAGAGAGCTTCCATTGGTCTGGTTCAAGTTCAAGTGACAAGCTTCTGCGCCGCGCAAAATGCTTTCAGCTGCCGGATGACATAGACCCAGCCATTTGGGTTTCCTGCAGTCCCGAGGCTTCGAGTTCCTCCTGGGGAACCTCGGCGCAGCAAATTCGCCAGGGAAACGGGTCGGGTTTCCCACGTGCGACAGGGGGACCCGCAGCTTCGCAGGTGGTTTCTGCGAAAAGCGTGTGCGTGCAACAAGTCAGGTCATGGGTACATTGTCTGCCAGTAGCTTTGTAGGACGCATAAGTTTTCTGTGGAAGATCTTGCATATCTGCTGTGGCTTTTGCAGCTTGTTTCTTCTTTTGGGTTCATTTGTTTGTGCTTTGTGTTGTGCTCTTTACGGCTCTTCCAAGAAACTGTTCACTATATGTATTCTTAGCATTGCATTTGTTTCTTCTCTCTATCTTTGTCTCTCCCCCTCCCAACATGTTGAGCGTGGCCGGCCAAGCGTTTGCTTTGCAAGGATCTGTCGCCTGATTTGGTGCGACGAGTTCCAGAGTCAGTGCGCGACGCATAGACCGGAGCTGGTTGAGCGCCAATCCGGGTGCCAAACAGTACATGCCGGTTGATTTCCCAGAGTTCACAAGTCTTCATCCTTTGTACATCCACAGTATTGCAGCGTTGCGGCAAGACCCTGAAGTGTTGCCACTGAGCTGTCATGGGATGTGCATATGGGCGTGCGCACAAGGGCCTGTTGTTTAGCCTTCAGGCCTGATGAACTACGGCATCGCCAAGGTTCGGGAGGAGCTATGTCATTTGATTCGGAGCTCGGAAACCAATGAATGGCCTTGACTCTCAGTAGCGGTTACCCCCAAGCAAAGAGGCGGGCATGTCTGAAATGAGGAGTTGAACATGGCAAGAGTTGCATCCCATTTGTGTGAGCATGGACATGGGCTTTAGCTTCTCTCATGCTGCCCGTGCCCAGCAGAGCTGTGCAGAGCCAATTTGCTCAAGCGAAATAAAAATAGCAAACGGAAAACCCAAAAAAAGGCGCCTTGGCTGCATATGACACAATCTGGAGGCATATATTGATCCCACCTTCTTGGAGATTCTATTTCCCATGGAGCCGGTGGGCTGCGGGTCGAGTTAGTCAAGTTAGATTTTAGTGGACCCCTGGTCATAGATGCACAGATCATGCAAGCATTTTTCCGGGAAGGGTCCATCTCCATGGAACAAGGCTGTCACGGCTTTTAAAGGTCACTGAATTAGCGTACCAAGGAAGTCCCCCAATTGACAAAATAGACATGGGAATAACAAACTTACTTTTGCGCGAATGTGATTTTTTGAGTTGTGCTTTGTTTTGGTTTCCTCTGTTTTTAGGGCATGGGTGTGTCTCAAATAAGGGACCCCCAAACAGATATTGCCGGTTTTCTTGTGGTTTCCCTGTAAATCCAACTAAAAGAGAGTTCCAAAAAAGCAGACACAACCACAGCCCCGCGGTCTTTCTTTTTCACGGCCCGAGGAATCTTTCTGGCGACCAGCCTTGAGTTATGGCAGCTCCTGGAGGCGCTGGGGCTTTTGCTGCAAAGGAGAAGAATTGGGTGCTTTGAAAGGGATATCGGTATGTGTTGCATCGTGTACCCTCCAACATGGAATTCGGTTTTGTTATCCTTTTAGTTTCCCTTCGAGCCTGAAAAGGGAATCCCCAAAACCCGAAATTGTCCTTTAACGGCAACTGGGTTCCCCACGAAAAAAAGCAAGCACAGCCAAGTGTTTGCCCTTTTGGTATTCGTTTTTAGCGAGCCCCAGCAAGGGTACCCTCAAAAAGCACCCCCCCCCCCATTTCAACAAGTTTCGGAAGCAGTAAGAGGCTTAAGGAAATGGTGACAGCCACTTTATCAACCCTTTCTAACCTGATTAAAATTAATGACCACAACATTATGTGCAGACGGTTGTGACAACCTGCAGAGGCTTCACTTGCACGTCGCCGCGTTGAAGGCTTTGTGAAGCGAGCGGCAGGCAACGTGCCGCAGTTCGCGTCGCTCTACGTGGGCGACCTCCACCCTGATGTCACCGAGGCAAGGAATCAATGGAGAGCGGGGATGCAGCTTTGGCCATGAGTCAACGCCAGTTGAGCAGAGCCAAAACCCCTGTGGCTCATTTTAGAAGGTTCTATTCCGTGGTTGAGAAAGGTTGCAGTGGCTTAAACCTTGATAGCCATCTTGGTAGAACCGAAAGTCGATAGTGTTTCGGGCGCTGTTCAGTTGGAGGGAAGGCTTGTTTGCGTGAACAGCATTGGAAGTTCCAGTTGGGTATGGTGTCAACACTAGGTACCCCTCAGTTTTCTTTTGGTGCAATTTCAAAACCGGCCCTGTCCTGAAAGTCCCCTTGACACAAGATAACACACACACTCTATTTCAAAAATGCCTGGCACATCACGGTGCACAGTTTGCACCGTCCGTGCAAAAATCAGCCGAACACTACCGCATTCTAAACCCAAAAACACATGCGCCATCTTCAGGCGGGGGAGGGGGGGGCACAGGGCATTTTCATGCGACATCGCCAGTAGATGGCGCATCACTCTAATTCGGATCTTCTCTCTCGCATGTTTTGAGCATGCCTTTTGGGAGCACTTGGAAAAGAGGCACCTTAGCCCTCTCTTGAGAGAGTTGGCGAAAGGAAAAAACATGGCACCTGCGCCATCTACTGAAGAAAATGCAAGGGGCCTCGGAAGCATACTCGAACATACTCGGAAGCAAATAGCCACACAGTTCAACTTGCCACATCGTGCCACATCTTCGTTTTGTGTCACGCAACGCCCCCGAACTGGAGTGACGTGCCTCCTGAAGCATTGGACACGAATAGGACGGAGGTTGCGCAAGGAAATCTGAAAACAAATGCAAGGGACCTCAGAAGCATTGTGCTAATACATTCAAAGACTGTAGCGCAGCATTAACTCTACAAATTGCCGCGTCTCTTTTTTGTGTCACAAACGGCCCCGAGCGAGTGGCCCTCTATTGCAAGATTGGAAATGCAAGGAGCAGTGCAAGGACATGTGAAAACAAGGCATCGATGGAAATGCACGGGGCGTCCCAGGCATTGTACTCGAAAACATTATTCAGGGCCCAATACTAAATTTCAACTTGCCGCGTCTTCTTTTTGGTGCCACGAGACGGAACCAAATTGGAAGGTAGTATTCGGAGTGATTTTGGTCACGTTGCAAGGATGGCACCGCATGAGCCTCAATTTACGGGTCCGTAGTTGAAAGTATTATTCGGCAGGCGGCGGGCGTGCTACGTGTCAGAGAGAGAAGATGGCGCAAACACAGCGGAATTCGCATGGCGCATAACCACCGTGATGTGCCAGGTATTTTCTCCCCAGTGTACTAGCGTGGAATTTCACACGGAAGCCAACAATTCTGGGTCGCCCTGGAGATTGGAATCTGCAAGCATGGCTCGTTTTGGTCCCGTGGTAATCAGAGTGCGATCCAGGCAATGCTCTATGAGATCTTCAACTCCGTGGGGCCCGTGGCCTCCATCCGCGTGTGCAGGGACAGCGTGTCCCGGAAGTCTCTAGGCGGGGGGGGGCCTGCTGGGAGGGTGGGCTGGGCATTCAGCCCTTGGACTTGCGCCTTGCCTGGGAATGGAAGTGTGCGTTTTAGATGATTTATTCAGCACACTCACTGCCACTATGTGTGAGCGTTTAATGTAAATATTCTTGTCGGGCCACGGGACCCAGAAGCGAGAGATGCGGTTTGCCCTGGGCGGCCCTTGAGTTCATTTATCGTGCTGGCCAGGCTATGGCTATGCACCCGGGCGGCATAGTGGACCTGGCGGGTGGTCCTCGGTCGCTGTGTTCCTGCGGAAGCGGCAGCATCCTTCGAGCTTGGCGTTGGGAGGGTGAGGGGCGTAGCGGCGTAGCATGAGATTCTCCATGACACGCGCTCCAACAGACCTCAGGTAAACTTCCACAATGTGCCAGGGGCCAAGCGGAGAGGATGTGAGCGCTCCGAGTATTCAAGCTTTAAATGGCGAGCTGTGCTTGTGGCTAGTATATGAGAAGGGCTATTCATTTTGTTGATCTTGGCAGAGACATGACATACACTCAGCAACTTGCCACAAGTACATGTTTGCTACTTTGCTATTTATACGTCAACTTGCCAAATATGTTGCGACCACAATGATCCTGGCCCAAATTGAGGGCAATGGCGAAGAGCACCACATGCAAGGTCTGATGCCGAGAGGGCTTTGGACACCTTGAACTACTCCAGCATCAAGGGCAGATCTTGCCGCCACTTGGCAAGCGAGACAAGGACCGGAGGGCAATACATTTGAAGTATAAGCGTTTGGGGACACTTGCACAGCTGGAATTGACGGTGCTTTGCTTCAGTCCTGGATACATATACTCCACTTGGAGGCCGAGTGTGTACCTTGTACATTTGTTCATGATTGTCACCCAAGGCATCATGTGGAGCCAGCGAGACCCGAGCTTACGAAAGAGCGGGGCTGGCAACATCTACGTCAAGAACTTGGACAAGAACATTGACAACAAGGTGCTTGCTTAGCGCTGACCGGCGTATGCGTGCACGGCCTTGAGACAAAAGACCGCAAACGAGAAAAGAGGGCAAGGTACCTGAGGTACCTCAGGCGCACCTGAGGTACCTGAGGTACCTGTGCAGAACCGTTTTTTTTTTTTTTGAAGACAGGCCCAACTTGTGAGACTCTTTCGGTCCCTGGCCAACCTTGGCTTGCCGTCGGAATTTCCGGGGTGCTTTCAAGCCTTCTGATGGTGCCCTGGCCGACGGGCCGATTGGATTTGTCAGGCCCTCTACGACACATTTAGCCTCTTCGGCAATATCCTGTCTTGCAAGGCGCCTGGGCTGCATTCATTTGGGGTAGAAGAGTACATACTGGCTACCCTCTCTTGAATATCAGATGACATCAACTCCGGCTTGGCGCTTAGGTGGCCACAGACCCCACGGGCACATCCTATGGCTACTTGGGCTTGCAAATGTGAGTCGGGCAGTGTTGCAGATCTGTGGGTCAGGGTCAGGGCAGTTTCATTAGACGCTTTTTTTTGCGTTTTCCGAGCTGCGTGGTTGACATATTTTTCCTTTTGAGACAGCGAATGTCTTCCAATGAACATGAATCGCTTTTTGGTCAGGTTATGGCTTCGTTCACTATGAGACCGAGGAAGCTGCAAAGCAGGCTGCGGCTGGTGTCATTTGGTGATAAGACTGATTCGGTGGTAAAATAAATAATCATAACCAGGGAAGGAGCACAGGGCCTTCCAAGAGCCCACGGCCAGATACCCAGGGTCAAATCGATTTGGCTGTGTTGCATTTCCCAATCGTGAAGAGGGTTAACACAGGTCGCATGGTTTCCCCATGCCCTGAAAACACGGCGCCACTGCGGACCGAGCCAGCAGTTTTCCCACCCCGAGCGGCAGCTGTTCGCGCCAGGCCATCGAGAAGGTGGACGGCATGATGATTGGAGACAAGACCGTGCAGGCACTAAAGAAAGCCCCTTGCAAATGCATGTTGCCTAAAAGAAGAAATATACACATGCAGATACACATTTGTATGTTGTAATGTATTTTCTGGTGTAAGACATGCTGTGGACGTGGTCCTGCAAGGTGTGCCATTTTCAGAAGCGGGATGACAAGGGGGATGACAAGGAGAACTTCACCAACGTCTATGCCGGCGGCTGAGAGGATTTGCCGAGAGAATTCTGATTTGTCGCACAACTGGAAGCTCGTTGTCCAAGGATGGTTGAAGGCTTGCTTTTGGTTGGGTCGGGTTTAGG